ATGCTGAGCACACTGTTTGGTTTTGTGCTTTTTTTTAAAAAACTGGTCTCACCAGGATAATGGCAACCTAAACTAAAACCCTGGCTGCAGATCGTTTGTCTGTCCGGGACGTTGTTCTTCCTCCCGACCCCCTCTGAGCAAGACGACCTGCTGCTCATCAGGCAAGATTTAGAGGCGCAGGGCCACCGCCTCCTTCCAAAACGAGCACGCAGCCGCCGTGGCGTTCGTTGCCGGCGCGGGGATCCGGCGAGGGCTACCAGCAGATCGGTTTTTTAGCTGCGGCAGTCGTCTTCGGCAGAGCTGTGGCGTCTTCTCTCTTCAGCAGTAAGCTCATGCCTCCCCGAGAGCGGGCAGAGGTGGTGCAGGCTTCGCTCCCTGCCCGCCCCGAGCAGGGGCAGCACCCCGACAGGTCACCTCTGGCAATTTTGGGGCGGTGGGGGGCTTGCCTCTGTGTCGGCAGGAGCCCGTAGCGTTCCTGAGAGGTCGGGTGTTGGCTTTGGGCTCACGTTGGGGCTTTGATGGGCTTGCGTTGGGTTGATCGCTGCCCGGGCAGCCGGATCGCAGCGTTGGCTTGGTACTGAGAAACCGGCTGACGTTTAACGATATCCCCCATTGGGTATTTCAATTTTCCGTATGCGGCGGGCGATTGTCCTGTCTGCAGGAGGGAAAACCCGAGAGAGAACGCGTGGCCGGGGGGGAGGCAAAGCTGAGCGGGGATTTCGGCTCTCGCGGCGACACGGCTCCTGCAGTGCCATCTGCGATGCTGAAACGGAGTCAAGGTGAGGATACGATAGTGCGGCGTCTGTGACGCCGGTGACAACGCGATTGGTGTTTGTAGCGAAGGGTGCGTCTGCGTCTCACCGAGGGCCCTGTCCTTGCTCGGGGGGAGGAAGAAGCAGCAGCAAGTTCTGAGGTCTGGTCCTGGGGCAGAGGAGACGATGCGAGGCTTTGTACGGGAGCGAGCAGGTACGGGGGGTGTTGGCCCGGAGCGTTGGATGTCACCTGCTGTCTGCGTGACAACTGCTTCGTCTTCTCTTGGCAAAATGGTTTTAAGGAACCATAAAATTAGCATAAAATTAGCTCTCTTGTGTCATTTGAGCCCTGGATCTTCTTTCTGAGAGGAACTAGGGACAAGGTGGTGGAAAACGATGGGTCACCGAGCAGACTTTCTTCTAGACCTCCCCATGCCGCAGCGTCTCCTCAGCTGGAGGCTGTACCTGGGTTTAGGAATCCCAGGAAGGTTTAAGAATCGACAACGCGTGTCGAGGTGAGAAGCTGCCTCGAGGAGCGGAAACCCGGGGAGACGCTGTTGAGCTCCGAGGGTGAGAGACACGGTCCCAGCTCCCGTGCCAGCGCAGCGGGAGAGATCAGGATCAGCGAGTGCTCCAGCATCCCATCGGGGGAAGAGATGCCATGGAAGGTTTTTTGTGTGCTGCTGCTTCGCGTGAGAATGCAAGAGCCGACTTTTCCTACCTGAGGCTTAAGGCGTTTGAGGCTCAGCCTTTCTGTGAGCTGCAGCTTGATCCTGTGGCTCTGAAGCGTTGATTTAGGGTCTCTTTACCCATTGATATCTTTACAGTTATAAACCATATAGTTTATTTAATGCAAGGAGCAGCTGACATTGGGTGAAGCCACTTTGGACGGTGCAGAGCGACGTTGCGCAGTACTTAAAGAGGAGGAGTAAATATCGTTGCAGCTGTGGAGGGATATTTAATGGGTCAACCCAAGCCCGGGGTGGTGGAGCTGAGTTATCCTGCCCGTAGCTGCCTGGGGAAGGTGGTTAAGTTACATCAGGGGTTAGAGCTGTGGGACGAGCTCGCGGCCATCGAGAGGAGGACAAGCAACCCGAGTGGAAGCGTGCACAACTGCTGGATGGAGCAAGAGTCGGGACACGCAACCCAGAGGCTGAAAAAACCTTCTAGTCCATCCGTTCTGCCCCGATGTAGGATCACACCTAGCGACCTCGCTCCTGACAGACATGCTTAGGCTGGATGTATACGTGCCACCCGGTTCCGGCTGCTTAGGAAATGATCTGGCTGCTTTCCTCTGGCTAACAAGCGCGCGTCTCTTGTGAGCAGGGCACGCTGGGCACCCGTCCGGCGGAGTCGCGGGCAACGAGGGCTCCTGTGCCTGGATCCTGCCCGGGGACCGAGGTCCCTGTGCTCACCGAAACGGTCACGGTGGCGGTTCTGGGGATGTGGGGCACCCAACAAATTCCCTCTGTGCAGGCAGGAGACTCCGGCAGAGAACCGGGGCTGTCCGATACATCCCTTAACCTCTGGCAGAAAGCGGGGAGGTAAGACGAAGGGCTCGTGCCGCTCCGTGCGCACTGTGGCTCTGCAGTATCCCACCCACCTCCCGTCGTCTGTTCTGGTTTCCCTCCTCTCTCTCCCCCCTCCCTGTTGCTATTTATCCCAAATGCCATTTTTATCTCTTTTTCATGCTCTGACTATACATTCGAGCTTCTGGGCAAGATGCTGGTAATTTCCATACAGATTATAACATAAAAAGAAACATTCCAAAGCTTCCAGAAACGCATCGGACCTGCAGCGTCCCCCATGGCATGGCCTGCTGCTAAGTTGGGGGGGGAAGAAAATCTTTCTGATGTGGTCATTTTGATGGGGAAAATGCTGGAAATGAATTAAGTGAAGGATTTTTAGGCAGTGCAGAACGTCCTCCTGGTTCAGTATCGCTCTGAAGCCTGGTGGTATAGTATGAAATGAGATGGTGTGGTATGAAACGAGCTTTTTGACCCTGGTATTTTAGTGCCTAGCTTTCGATTCGATACGTATTCATTGCTTTTAAGAAATGCCAAGCATTCATTGCTCCTCGCTTCTAGTTTGCGGCTCAGACCCAACGTCTCTGAGGAGGGACACCTGACAGTACTCTGTGTTTTGCAGAGCCTTTGTCCCCAAAAATCGAGCTCCTTTTTTTCCCCTATATTATAATTTTGGTTCAGAGGGGGGGGTCCGTGTGGTCCCCCCCCACCTTCCTGGCCGGACTTGCTCTCCGCGGTGCCATTCAGCCCCGCAATTTGTTCCTACGCAGAACCGAGCAACGCACGTTCCTCTTTCAAACGCACGCGTCTATTCTCGTTAGCCTTGCAATTCACAGATGCAAAGCCGAAAGCCCCAGACAGATTCTTTTTTTTTCAGGGCTTTTTTTTTTTTCCTTTTTTTTTTTTTTCCCCCCCCTTTTCTAAGAGCTCATCACCCATCAGTTCCCATTATACTCAAGACTGGAGCTCTTTTGAAAATATACCACATGTTCAGCTGCCTAAATGGCCTTTTGAAAACCTGTGCTGGGGTGTCACGAACATTTTTGGGAGCGATGGTGCTGCGGGCAGCCCCCCGCTGCACTCTCCTCTGTCTCCAGCTGTAAGCACAGCACCTGGTAAATATTGGCAGCTAACGCTTTGCTTCAAAAGGGGGAAAAAAAGAAAAAATTAGATTAATTGAAGTGTCTAGAGGGCTTATGTGCTATTGCCAGGGAAACACGGATTCGGGGGGAAACGATACGGAGCGGTGAGAGGGGACGGGAAGCCAAAGCGTGTTTGATGAAAGCAAAAGGACGCGGGTGAATTTGGAGCTGCCTCCCCAAAGGCTTTGTGTTACAGGGCTGGGGGACGTCTCGCCTGCACCCCAGCTTTGGTAACGCTGCTCTGGGAATTTGATCGGTCCTCGAGCTCGGCTGGGCTGTATGGAGCAAACCGGTGTGGGTGTCTTGTCTTTTCTTTCCTCTTCCTTGTCACGCTCCAGGTCTAGGTAGCAGGATTTGATACCGAGGGCTCGAGGCTGCGGTTCACGGGGCGCTGGCAGGGTTTTTATCTGCGGTCTGGGAAGCGTGAGTAAAGAAAGGAAGACTCTTATCAGGAGGTTTTGTTTTTGGATAGATACCTCACAAATTACGGGTTGGAGGATCGCTGCCTGGAACGTGGGGTTTGAGAGCACCCTGTCTCCTGCTGCGGGACGGGCTGGGGAGGAGGGAGGATCTGGGGGTGCTTTTTGGGTTTGGCAGTGTTTTGCCCTAAATTGAAGCCGATGCACAGCTCTGGGACAAAACGAGGACTCTCACAATGAGAAGAGAGAAACTTTTCTCTAAAGAAATCTTCCCCACTGCTCCTACAAGCTCCAGCTGCCTCCGCTTTGGTGGCCCTAGCAGCATATTCCAGAGCAGGGAAGCCTCTGAATTCCCCAGTTCCCTCTCTCCCATCCTTAAAATCTTTGCAGCCGTGGAGTAAATCCGTCCTGCTCCACCTCGGCTGGCGGGGCAGGCTTGGAGGGAGCCGGCAATGGGAAAGGTTCATGTTTGAGCCTTCTGGATTGGGATTTTTTGGTATCGGTGATCAGTAGCCGGCGAGCCTGGCTTGCTCATGGAGTCCCCGTTGATGAAAATGGCTCGGGGGGAAAAAAAGAGTAAAAAAATATTTATGCTCTAACTCTGATAATTGCAGAGCATCTCTGTAAGTTCCCTGCGAGAGCCGTCTTCCCCGCGGTGCGAGCGGCAGGAAATCCAGCCCCGTGTCGGAGCCGCGTTACCAGCAGCTCGTCAGCTTTCCGACACCGGTTTAATTGCAGTGACTTACCTTCCGTCACTGGGGCCGGGAGCCGGCTTTGTCCGAGGCTGGTCAGCAGAGCTCCTGGTGCTTTGTGTCAGGCTTGTAAACAGCTTTTTTCCTAAATGTCATTATCTGGACAGGCTTGAGGCCGTATGTGTGTTGTTTTTTTAATTTATTTTTCTTTGGACCACCACTGACCTTGTGTGATCTTGATAAGAGCGTTTTTCTGTTCCACAGTGGTCACTTGAGGTTAATAAATCTGAAATTTGAAATGCTCCTCACGAAACCGAAACTCTGGTCTGCCAGAGCGCCTTTACAGGGAAGTGGAGCTCAGGAATCCGCGTTAGGCTCCTGGCGTGTTAATTTTTTGAGCTACGTCTTTTTCCTGAAATGGCAAGCGAAGTGCTTGGTGGCTAAAACCACTTTTCTCTGTCTTTCACAGGAGTACACTTGCCCGAGATGCGAGTCTGGCTTTATCGAAGAAGTCACAGATGATTCCAGGTAACGTACGCATCGATGCACCGCTAGTTTGTAAGATGCCTGGCGTAAAGCCTCTGAAAACTGTGGACAACAAGGTTAAAATGAGGAATGAAAAGAAAAAGCTTAGATATTGGTGTGAATTTGGCCTTAATACTGGATGAGACTGAAAATACAAGTGGCCGTCAGTCTGAGGAGGGGTTTGGGGAAGACTTCCAAGAAGCTGGGAGTTTTGAATTAAAACTGTACAAGGTCCCATGGACAAAAGCACTTACAGGTTTTTGACGCCTGTTTCTTTGGTCTATTAGAGCGAAAAGCATATTTATTTATTTTTTTAGGAATCAAGCTTGAATCTCAGTGACTCTCAGTACCTTTCTTTTTCCCTCTGTGAACCCCAGCTCAGTCTCCTGATCACCTCTCCAATCTCACAGCTCAGGCCAAGAGAGAAAGAAATACCTTTTCTCTCTAGGAGCACCAATTTGGTCCTGGGTCACCCAGCAGAACACACTGCCGGCAAATTCGGGATCCAAAATGAAGCCTGTTCAGCACTTAGTATATTCGGTGTTGATTAATTGCTGAGAAAACGGCTTTATTTGGGTTGGGGGTAGGCAAGACGAAAGGGCAGCGGTGATTACATGAACCTTTGCTATCTGAGACAGGAATTGGGGGCCGGGTTTTGCCGGGAAGAGGCGACACTACGTCCTCTTCTTAAATACAAGTGTCTAGCCGTCACTTAAAGCAAGGCTGGAGCACTTGGGGCACGTAGCCCACGATCCCGATCGCAGAACGACGATGCTCCATCTCAAACGCCTCCTCTTGGGAGGCTCTTCCAGAGTCCAGGTAATTAGCAAGCAGGTTTCCTCCCCGGTCAGGTTGTGCGCAGTACGGTGGCACATCACCTGGCCTTTTTGCTTTAATAATCCTTTTCTGTCCCTAGGAATTATTCCGCTGTGCTCACACAGGCAGGCTGTGTTTGCTCGTCCCGTTCTCAGACCGCACGGGGCCTGTCTTGCTCTGATTTCTGCAAGGGTGACCTGCTCTCACTCAACTGTTTCTCTCCAGTTTTCTAGATGGCAGCGGCATAGACGACAGCCCATCCACACAGTTCGCAGAGGTGAGTTTTAGTCTATTATTTTGGGATTTATTTCTTTAAAATGGTAGCCGTGAAGAGGTTTTCAGTCTCGTCTCCGGCTGCAGTATGTGAAGTCATCTTCACTTGCCGCCTCATAAAAAGGACAGCTGATCTTCCAAAGAGTTTTCAGGAACTTGGCAAATTTTAAGGAGACTGTTGACATTGCTGGGGTTGAGACCTGCCAGAGATTTGCTCACTGGGCAGGGCAGGAAAAGACAGGAGCTGGAACGACACCCTGCCCCTTGGTGCTGGGACGTGTGTCGGTGATGCTCAGCCAGCTGGGGAGGGTGTTGCCTGACTGCCTTTTCCTCCCCGCTCATTTCTGCTCTCAGTTTTACCAAAACTGCGACTGTCTAAAAATCCAAACTTGTAATAAAGTCCCCGTCTTGTAATCCAGTTGCGTGGACCTCGGAGCAGGGGCTGGAGTCGCCCTGGGCTGCTGGCTGCGGCGGCAGCTCCTCTGCCAGGCCCCGAGGAAGGCAGGGCGGCTTTAGACTCGGATGGCAGGCTCTGTTTCCCTTCAGGACTTCGCTTGAGCTGCGTAAAACAGATGGGAATAAAATTTCTATGCGTCTCCTCTGCCAGCAGGCCTTGCTCGGCGATCGGGTTATTCATTTGCTCGGTTATTGAGGAGTTTTAAGCGTTTCTCGGTCCTGCCAGGAGAACTCCTGCGTGTCCTGAGTCGCAGCTCCTCGGCCAGGGTCACCCCTGGGTAGATTCGGGGGTCCGTGTTGTCGCTGAGCCCTCCTTCGCCTGCCGCAGCAAAGAAAAACAGGGTCACCAAATAACTGAAATTCCTCTGCGGCTTTGTGTTTTGAATCTGCATCCCTCCTGTTTGCTTCCACGTTCCCCGCACAGGGCTGGTTTGCCTCGCCTCTCCTCCCCTCCTCTTCAGCTGGATCCATTTGTCTCCTGAACAAAACTGTTGCCTTTATATCGCTCCTCCCCGGCTCCCGTATCTCAGAAACGCCCGTGTGTGAGCGAGATAAAGCGATCTTGTCGTATAGCCCGAGTGTCGGTTTACAAAGACCTTTGGGATGCCTCCGCATGAAAGGCGCTATGTAAATTTAAATGGCTTTTAGGATTAATAATAAATGAAAGTCTTCTCCCAGCAGTGTGGCTGCAGGCAGGCAGAGCTCTATCTTGATCGTAACCAGCAGGAGAACAAGCAAAGCTCTCGTCTGCGGGGTGTTAATTCAGAGAACAGGTCATAAACTTTACTTCTCCCTTTCCTCCAATACCGGATTGAACCGGGCAACGTCAGAGACTTGTAAAGTGAGCTAATTTGGTGTGAAATGGAAATTAAGCCGCTCTGATCGTGTCATAACGCGTGATGAGGGTCTAGTACAAATGAGCAAAGAACAGCCCTCGTGTTACGCTCTGTAGCATTTAATTCCCGCAGTAAATCCGAGGGCACTGCTCCTTCCAATATCCCTTTTCCAGTGCGGAGCCTGGCCTGGGCGTATTGAGCAGGAGCAGCGGTTTGCTCCCCACCCCGGCACGTGGAGGGCTTTTTTTGTCTGACGCTCCTCGTTTCGTTGTCCTCTCTGAATTATTTTTTCCAATAAATCTTCAGTGGCCTCCTCAGCTGTTACTTTAATCCGTGGGCGATCTGAATCGCAGAAGGAATAAAACCAACTGGGTTTTGCAGGTGAGGGTGGCCGAGGCGGCTCTCGGCTCCAAGCTGTGGCTCGGGATGGGGGATGCCTTGCTCCGGGTTCCCGGCTGTTTTCGTGCATCCCCCCCCCAGTTTCTTCAACCCTCGCAGTGCCCTGGGGTGGCTTAACAAAATATGTGTTGGGATCTGTACGTCTCAGGAAAGAGCCGATGTGTTGGTCTTGCCGGGGGTGGTACATCTGATTAGTTTGGGCTATAATTAAGCGTGTTTGCCAGACTTTTTTTTCTTTTTCTGGGAGCCATGGTAACCATGTGAATTTGCTCAATTGCTTCTGTCAAGGTGGACTTCCCTGCCTCCGCCTTGGCAGCAGAGTCACCAGGATTAGTGGCGGAGTCACGTGTGGTTTGTGTCTCCCCTTTTTTTCCCCGCCAGCTTTGGGACCATTTGGACCACACAATGTTCTTTCCTGACTTCAGACCCTTCCTGAGTAGCAGCTCACTGGATCAAGACAGCAGGGACAACGAGAGGGGCCACCAAGCCCACGCCGACCTCTGGGGACCAAGCCGACCCCCCCGATTGCCCATGACGCGGAGGTACAGATCCCGGGGCAGCTCCCGCCCCGACAGGTCTCCCGCTATCGAAGGGTAAGTGCCTAAATTAACCCCTGGAAGCATCTCCCTCTACCTCAGTGGGTAAAATGTGGGATCTTGGGGAGAAACCTGACGAAGTGGGGTCCGGGCACTTACGGTAGGTGACCCTCGGACCCAGAAAACACCGGTTTTCACATCAGATGCTGTACCCTTTGTCCCCCTCGGCACGAATCGAAGCTGCGTGGTGGGAAAGGTGGGTTTTGCCTGTAACGGTGCCAAACCCTCAGCGCAGGGAAACAAGTCAGCGCTTGGGAAACTCAGTCGCTTCCTCTCCCAGCCCTCCCACACTCCGATGAGTTAGCATCCCTTGTTCCTTTGTGCTTGTGCCTCTTGTCTCGGGGCTCGCCCTTCTGCAGAGGGATTTACCTAGGCGTGAGTCTTGCAACGACATGGCTACGATCGATCGGAGCAGCATTTCGTGTTTCGCTGCCCATTCTTGCTAAACCGTTGCTGCTGCCATTTATTTGTTTGCTCAACTTGTTCTTTTTTTTTTTTTTTTTTTCTTCCCCTCTTTCGATTCCTCCCTCTTTAGAATAATACAGCAGATCTTTGCGGGGTTTTTTGCAAACTCAGCGGTTCCTGGCTCACAACACCCTTTTTCCTGGTGAGTAGCAAGTGCAGTTTAGACCGTGGCTTTGATCACGGTTGTCCAACACTGGTAAACAGCCGCGGTTTGGTGCAGCTCCATCTCCCCGGTATTGATCGTGGAAACCTCGGGGGCTGGTTTAGGGTGAGTGAAATGGTTTCCTTGACTCTCCGCTCCCGTCCGCAGGAGTGGGATGCTGCACTCGAATCCTGGGGACTATGCCTGGGGACAGAGCGGCCTGGATGCTATTGTCACCCAGGTAAGACCCTCGTAATGTGCCTGGCTGGAGAAAGGCCCGAGCTGGGCTTTGATCTGTGCCTGTAAATTTTTGTGCCTGTAAAGTTTTGTGCTGCTCTCTGGCCGGAGACGAGCCCTGGGTTTGGGATGAGGACTGGGAAGAGACCGTCGGTGTCTGGCTTGGCGGCTGCTTGTGCCCTAGGAGCTCCGGGGGCCTAGGAGCAGCGGCACAGACCTTATTCCTGTGGGAATACCGTATCTTAGTTCGCCTCTTTATCAACGCACATGTGGGGTACGAGGCTGCAGGCTCCTTGCAGCAGGCTCAGCAGAGGCCAAAGATTCAAATCTCTCACCAAATTCAGCGATTCTCAGCCCTCGGCCATTTCCCCTGCAGTTTGCAGAGGGATGAGCCGAGTCCTCTCCCGTTCCTGGAAGCATTGTCTGGCTCCTTTGAGGATCGGGGGCGTCCAGCCTCCATCCAGAGTCTCTTCCAGGGTGTTGGCATCACTGGGGTGGGAAAGAGCAGACAAATTCTTTACCAAGAGCTAATTTGGCTGCTGTTGTCGTGCCGACGCCTCCCAAAAGCGCCTGGCGAAGCCATCTGCTGCCATTCATAAGTAGCCCCCGGCTTCCCGGCCTGCGATCACACGCCCGTCTCACCCGCCTTACTCACCGCTTCCTAAAATGAGTCTGCAGCCCACGCGGCCGCTCGCAGACAGCACCTTCCTCCTCCCGCCCCGCGCCCGGCAGAGCTGAAC